GAATGTCCTTGGACATGAATCTTTTTTTTTGTTATTTCTAGGTTTTGTTTGTAGAATGCATTATTTGAGTAGGAATTGCTGGTTAATATTTTAAGTTCTTGCTCATGTTGTCAAATAGGCATCTAGCTCTTGGCTTTGGTAAACATTCTCAGAGACTTCTGCTTTTTAGCTCATATGACTGACTAATTTGGTCATGAGGCCAGGCAATATGAATAAACAACAAGACAATCTAATGAAAATAATGGCTACTGCCATTTGTTAGCGAAAGTCTTTCCCATGAGTTATGTTAAGCAACTACATATACATTCCCCCTTTTCCTCATAGTAACCCTCTGGAATATGGGTACCATAATCTGTTTTTAAAATGAGGACACTAAGGAGTTAAGTAACTTGCCAAGATCATGAGAATCCTGGGCAGTCAGGATCTGAGCCCAGGTCTATCAGACCCTAAAGCTGATACATTCTCTTTCTCTCTCTTTGCTGGGGATTGAACCCAGGACCTGGTATTTGCTAACYAAGCTCTACACCACTGAGTACATCCCATCACCCAAACATATGCCCTTAAAATCTGCCTCTTTATATGAAGGTATATGCTTGYGACTGGGGACTTCACTAGAGCCAGGCCTAATGGCATTTGAAGCCCCAGTGACCCATGAAAGMCAGAGCAGCCTGTAGCCTGATAAAACTCTTGGATAGGCCAAGGCCAGCCTTTCTGTTTTCTTCCTGGAGATGAAGTTGTGGGCCTGGCTGGTGACAGTGAACACAGGGCATGGTCACTTAATTGGTATTGTGGCACAGTTTTTCATCAGCTTTATGGAACCCTTGCAATAATACATTATTCCTCCACAGGGTTTTCTGGCTAAGGATTTGCAAGCTGAAGCTCTCGGCAAACTTGATAGGCGAGTAAAAGCCACAATTGAGCAGTTTATGAAGATCTTAGAGGAGATTGACACAATGGTATGTAAATATTAAGCTCAAAATAAGTAGTTTTCTTTGACAAGTTAGTTTCACTTTTTTAATAATGAACTCCTAATGTCTGAGCAAACTCATCACTTGAGGATTATTGAGCATCTGCTGCTGTGTGCCAGACACCACGCTAGTTCCTGGGTGAATACACAGACCCATATGACAGTTGCTGATTTCTAAATACTCAGCTCACCAACATAGGTCTTTGTTTTTTTGTATTTGTTTTTGTTTTAGATGTTGACGGACCTTTATTTTAATCATTTATTTATATGTGATGCTGAGAATCGAATCCAGTGCCTCACACATGCTAGGCAAGTGCTCTTCCACTGAGCTACAACCCCAGCCCCTATATAAAGTATCTCAACTTTTTTTTGGTGGTGCTGGCGATTGAACCCAGGGCTTTGTGCATGTGAGGCAAGCACTCTACCAACTGAGCTATATCCTCAGCCCAGGGCTTTTGTCATATACATATATGTAAATAAAATTAGCATCCATAACTCATGAAACTGGGACCCAAGTAGTCTGTGATCTCATGGTCAAAGAAACAGGGCTTTGTATCTCTAGCTTGATGCTTCATTCTTTTTTTTTTTTTTTTTTTTTAAGTTGTAGATGGACACAATACCTTTGTTTATTTTTATGTGGTGCTGGGATCGAACCCAGTGCCTCATGTACGCTAGGCAAGCACTCTATCACTGAGYCACAATCCCAGCCCCATGATGCTTCATTCTTGAGTGTGAACTGCTCTGGGCTTGGGACGCTTATGTTGTAAAAGAAAATATTATCAGAAGGTACTTTTCCTGGCATACTGAGATCATGGTCCGACAAGGACATAGTATCTATACATAGGAAACAGTGAAAGAACAAAGTCTATGTTACAGATCAGTTTTTATGGTTCAGACATTGAGACCAAAGATGCTTTTAGGAATGAGAGCCGTGGAAAGGACTTTGTAAAGTACAGACCTGGAGAAATGATCCCTTAAAATTCACATCTCATTTGTATTAGTGACCTATGATCTGTTTGGTGTGTTGTTTTCTTTTTTATGTATCTCATGTAATTGTCACTGAAGATTATGTGTCAACTTTTCTTCCATAGATCCTACCAGAAAATTTCAAAGACAGTAGGCTAAAAAGGAAGGGTTTGGTGAAAAAAGTTCAGGTGAGTTGTGTGATAGTACATGACAAACTGTTATGTGTTGGGGTTTGTTTATCCGCTTGAAATTTTCCAGTAGTGCAGAAATGTAGTGTTTGGCATGAGTTTTTATTTTTTGTTGTTGTTGTTGTCGTTGTTTTGTTTTTTCAGCATGAAGCCAGAGCATCAGAGAAGAGCCCCCTTTGTGTCTCTTTAGTTTTAGTTTTATTTGAATTTAAACTATTAAGGGAGAAAGTTCACAGAAGAGCAGATAGGCTGACCCCTTACACAATCCCAGGAGGCACCATTTGTGTGTACAGTACCTCCTTCAGTTGTGTTGATGCAATGTCCGTGGCCCCGAGGAAAGACTCTCTGTCCATTACTGCCTCTGGGGGAGTTGTTGAGCTAGAGCGTGGTCAGAAACCCTGACCCTATATTTTCCTCTCCCTCCCTCCTTTACCTTGGAGCCCAGGATGGTACCCATCTCCATCCTTGCACAGTCTGTTTAGAGTGTCACTCACAGGTTCCCCAGAGTGGCTAAGTAAAGAGCTTTGTGTGGGCGGTAGTTGGCTAGCTCTGGAAGAGCCCTCACTGCCATGTATCTATCTTTTAGGCATTCCTAGCTGAGTGTGACACAGTGGAGCAGAACATCTGCCAGGAGACTGAGCGGCTGCAGTCTACAAACTTGGCCCTTGTTGAGTGAGGTGCAGTGGAGAACGGTGCTGACTGAAGAACAGCTCTGTCCTCTCTGGAACAGAAATTGCCTGTTTCTCCATAGCTGTTAAAGGCAACTGGCCAATTATCAATTTTCCTACTCCTACACCACTTCTCAATGAAAAAGTACTATCTTTGCAACCTTAAGTAGAGCTCCTGTCTGTTTTCTTATTCTATTTCTATGTGGCTATACAATCCAGCAGGTGCCTTTTCCCAGCTTTTTTGACCAACTTTCTGCAAGCTGAAGAGTATTTTGGTTTGGTTTGGTTTGGTTTGGTTTGATGAGCCTTAAGAAGGTAAAGTCTTTTGTAGCTATAGTCAGAATTTATTTTTAAAAAGTTGAGAGTGGCTCTGCGTGTTCACTGTTTTGAGATTACAAAAGGAACAAGGTAAGGACTTTGGTCTTTATCCTAAGAGATGTGGGCCTTGCCTTTTAAAACTKGTCAACAGGGGCTGGGGCTGGGGCTGGGACTCCTTGATGGAATACTTGCCTAGCACATGCRAGGCGCTGGATTCAATCCTCAGCACCACATAAAAATAAATACATAAAATAAAGAAACAAAACAAAATGGTGATTCCTCATAAAATTAAAAAAAATAATAAAAATAAAACTGGTCAACAGCCAGGCTTGCCGGTGCACACCTGTAATCCCAGTGGCTCAGGAGGCTGAGGCAGGAGGATCATGTGTTCAAAGCCACCCTTAGCAATTTAGTGAGGCTTTAAGCAACTTGGTGAGACCCTGTCTAAAAATAAAATATAAAAAAGGCCGAGGATATAGGTCAATGTTAAGTGCCCCTGAGTTCAAACCCCTGTACCCACGGGGGAAAAAACATTATGAGCTGCTGTCGTCTCATTCTTTATCATAGTGCTCAGGAGATAGGCTCCCTATAGGCCGCCCAAGGCCCACTTCATTTGACAGAGAGGGATTCACTGAAGTCCCAGCAGTTTAGGACTGGGTAGGTAAGACCTCAGACCAGGTGGTGGTAGAGATAGTCAAGTGAACAAGGCTCAGGGGCAGCCCCAGCCTACCATAGTCCCAATTTAACCTATAACAATATAGGAGCAAGGAATTGTCAAATTAATTTCTATCTGCTTAAGCTTCTATTATTTTTGGTTTTCTGTCTCTGCCAAACTGAATCTTACATCATTTGTTTGCAGATGGGAAACARGTTTGTCAATAGTAGTAGAAGGGCCTATAGAAGATTCTTCTCCCAGATCCTGCCACTTGGAATCTATCAGCAACAATYTCTGCCTTTCCTGCTCTGCTTTCTTCTCAATGACATATGGTTTCTTGGAGCATTTCCTGCTCTTTCTAGCCACCTAAAACAGAAATCTGAATCCATGTGAAACAACTGCTCCTGCCTGGTCAGGCCTTTCTCCACACTCCTTTCCCCTGACACCATTATCAAGAGGCAAAAAGGCCAAAAGGGAGGGGGAAGTATTTGGCATGTACCATAAGTTGGGGTCTCTGGTGGGATTTCTAGTGCTCTGTGTCTCTGTGGTCCATGATGTGGATATACATGTGCTGTGTGTGCCTGGAGTTGTGTCTAATGTCATCTAGTCAGCAGATGTTGACCTGAAGAGCAGAAAAGGATCTGGAAGTCATCCTGTTTTGCCAGGAGTTAACTGGACCCCGGGATATCCAAGAGGTTTTCAGGTGACAGTCTAGGTGGCCAGGGTTTAGGGAAGCATTCAGAGGGTTTGGAACAGAAGACCTAGTTCACTGTTCTGTGTAAACTTCCTGAATATAAGCTGTGTTTGTATCAAATTTGTGTGTGTGTCTGCATGCCTCAGAGTGCTGAACAACCCAAGAGAAAGTCACGGAGGGTGTGGTTCCATGAAGGGGGTGAATAAAACTAAACCATACATCTCAATAGTGGCAAAGGATATTGATCTCGGCCAGGTTCCAGGCATTGTCCTGGGGTCAGAGGCTACCTGAAACCTCAAAGGAGACATGAGATAGGGTTGAACACCAGAGGGATAGAAAGGAATTGGACATCGGATTTATAACAGAAATAATAGTGCAAGATTCACCCTCCCAGCCCTCACCATAATCACCTCCCCCAGAGTCCCCAAAGACACTGGTTCACTTCCCTGGGTTGGGCTGGAGCTTTTATTTTATGTCACATCTCCTCCCTGCCCATCACTGTTCTCCAGCTTGAAGCTTCTTGGCTTGAGGCGCTCCTTCAGGGTCAGCATTTGCCATCCTTTATGATCTGGATATCCTTTTTGGTTTCTCTGGGATTACAGGAGACAAGAATGAAGATACCTCTGGGAACTATAACATACCCTTCAAGGACCAGGCCCTATCTGTGCAGATACCCTGCTGAACCCACTCCCATATCCTACAGTGTAGGAATATAGGGCAGATCCCAGGGATCTGTGAGTATTTCTATAACCTTTCCTTCTTACATCTTGCCCCTGGGAGATTTCAGYTTCCTGGGATTTCCACCACCTGTGCATGCTGATGACTGCCAAGTCTGTCTCCTACCTAGACCTCTGTCCTTCCTGACTATGCAGTTGTCCATTGCACATCTCTGGTATATAACAGAGGTTCAATTGTTCACAAACATTGTATCCTGCAAATACTACCTGCACCCTCATAGTTCACATCTTGGCAGTTAACACCACCAGCCACCCAAGCCTGCAATTCTACCATCAATATAGCTCTCTTTTGGGGGGGTGTATGGGGATTGAACTCAGGGGCACTCAACCACTGAGCCCCATCCCTATTTTGTATTTTATTTAGAGACAAGGTCTCACTGAGTTGCTTAGCATCTTGCCATTGCTGAGGCTGGCTTTGAACTCAAAATCCTCCTGCCTCAGCCTCCTGAGCCCCTGGGATTACAGGCGTGTGCTACTGCACCCAGCTCAATGTGTCTCTTAACTATGAGTCTAATTTTGATCTTTTTCTAAACTGGACAGTGTTCTGCTGCTTCTTACAGTTCCTCCAATACAAATTTTCACTTCTGTCTAGAGCTTTGTGGTTTCCAGCCACAAAGAAACTTTCTTTTCTTTCATGAACTCATTTAGCTCTCAAGCTGACTCAGGATTTTATTGGTGAAGAAATGAGACCAAGTAGATGATCGGTTTTACCAAAGTCATGTTCTAGCCTCTTCCTCACCTCTCTGAATTAATTTTTTGCCCTTCCCCCATTCTCCCTTCACACTCCAATTTGTCCACTTTCTTCAAATATACTCTTTCCCTTCCAGGCCTTCCCCAACTCCCTCTCTTCTATCTGGAATTATCTTCCCTACCTCTTCCTTTCTAGCTTATTTCCACTTATCCCTCAGGGCTGAGCTCAGGTATTACCTCCTCCAGGCAGTCTTCCTTGCCTCTGCCCATTCCTTGTTACCATGGTGCCCTGTCCATATGAGCCTTGGGCATTCTGTGGTGCAGTTAGCTGACCATCAACCTGGCTTCCCCCTTAGATTGACTGGATGCTCTAGGAGGCCAGCAGTGCTGTCTAACTTACTGTGCTCTGTTCTGTCCTGTGCCTACCACATAGTAAATATTCAATATAATTATTGTATTCAATATAATTATTGACTATAGAATAAAAGAACATTCTATAGAATGAGGTAACCTAGCAGTCAAGGGCAGAATAAGAAAAAAGAACCCAGGGTTTCTGGCCCCTCTCCTCCACCCCCACCAGCTTCTGGATTTCTGCTTGGAATCATGCCCCCTCTTTCAATTATATTTTGGCTCATTCTGTTAAGAGTAAATGTCACTACTCCACAGGCCAAGCATGTGTGAAGGAAGAAGGAGGTCAATTCTTTTCTCTTTTCAGATTTGTGTGCAGCCAAGATGGGGCCTACCCAAGCAAGCTGAGTTGGGAGGTCTTACATTCGGGTCAAGCAGAGATGACATTCACTGTTGTATGTGACCCCATCAGTGCCACAGACGAGGTTAGGTGTCTGGGAACAATTTGGAGGCTCTGTCATGTGCTCACAGATGGGCTGTGGAGGAGACAGGAGACTCAGAATCAGAGACAATAGGGAGGGATATAGGAGCTCTGCTTGGAGCCTAAGAGGCCCCAGGATGGAGCCAAATTCAAGACAGACTGTGTGTAGGTCTAGTGAACATAAAACCAGCCCCTTAGGATCCTGTGGTATATTTGTGTGTGTATACATGACCAGGTGCCTGTGGTTGGATGCATACTGAGTATGTTGCTGTGTCTACTGAGGTGTGGGTATCCCAAGTATACTGTGTATTTGTGTGGAGTGAATTTGTGCCCTCAAGTTCTTGGGGACTGGTTCCATTACTCTTCAGAGGATCCAACTAGAACCTCTCTGTTGTCTGATTGAGGACCCCAGGAGACAGAACCCATCATCCTAGGGGGCCCTCTTCCCAGGAGCCCCTGAGCTCACCGTAGCCTATCAAGTCCTTGGAAGGAAGGTACACAGTGTGGGAAGATTGGAGAAATGAGGCAGGGCTTGGAGCTTAATTGAGGCTCAATTTGAAAGAGATTCAGACTATATCTGACAGAACCGGGTCAAGATTGGGCCCTGGCACAGGGAGAAGGGAGAATGAGGCAGTGTGGTGCAGCTGTGAAAGCTCGGGCTAAAGCCCTGTATTCTGCCGGACTAGCTGTGTAAACTTGGATGAGCTATTTCCATTGTTGGAGTATTAGTTTCCTCATGTGTAAAAATCAGGAATGTTCCTTGCATAGGACTAATTGAAATTATGTTAAATATTTGGCTTTTTATCTGGCACCAAGTATGTGGAGCTGGGTTCGTTCTGATGGACTGACAGGAAGATGCTAAGACTGTTGGATGGGAAGGTGGCTTTGAACTTACTCATTCATCTATTTGAAAGGATTGATTGATGTTCCCAAGGATGCCGTCACCACTTCCTTAGGATCACTGGGGATGTCAGACCCAGAAGCAAGGTGGAATAGGCTTCAGGGGCAACTTGATGTTTGTCTACTCTAGAGTGAAGGGATGAATGATGACACCCAGTGGGTAATGACTGGCATTCCATGGGGCCATTCATTGTGCTAGGGTCACCTCTTTGGCCTGAATCATATGGTCTGTCTGTATTACACAAAGCAGAGAAGATGTTCTGTGCTGCTAAACCTTGGTGGGAGAATCTCACTGAGGGAAGAGGCCTTGGAGACCAGGTTGAGACAGATCCCAAGGGCTTTGATGAAAGGGATAGACTTGCTTAGCCTAGAGGGAATAATCTGGGGATCATGCAGGCTCAGGAGTCCACCCTGACCTCCTTGGGAGTCATTAAAGGTATCTAGCAAGAGTGGAGAATAATTCTGGTGTTCCAGCATGGATGAAAGGACTTCTCTCTGCAGAGGGAAGGCCACAATATCAAGCATCTGCCTTACCATTCTTGAGAAAATGTGATTTCCTGCTGACACTGGCACCTCTGAAAAACAAATCAGTAAGAATAAGGTAACGTTGGTCCTAGGTCCCAGATCCTGGGATCTGAGGACTGTTTCTCCTTCTCTGGGAGTCCTGACCCCAACACTACCAATCTGGAATTTCTCAAACAAACCCAGAGGATAGGGTTTCCAGAAAGCTGATGTGATCTTGTGTTACATACATAGTGACAGAAAGTCTTGAATCAGGAAGGTAGTCACCAGCATGTTCCTCATTTAGAGTCCACTGAAATTATGGTGTCCCATGTAATAATATCAACAACTCAGTAGTTACTCTGTGCCAGGCATTGAGAATACATGACTTTAACCACTGTTCAGACCTCTCTTGCTGCTCTGAAGAAAGGAGGGAAGAAAGGAGGCAGTGGTGGATGCTGTGGTCTGCTTCCCTGAGCCCACCCATAGGACTGAGGCACCTGACCTTGGGCTCACTATCTAATATGACCTTGCATGTCCCTAAGTCCAGCTTTTCTTCTGCTCACTGTTCCTGTACAGGAACTGTTTTGGTTCACGCAAAGCCCCTCTCCCTGAAATGTTGCCTACCTCCTTTCTCCTATTGAATCATACCATCCTTTCAAGGCTCAGAAGACTTCCCTGTTGTGTCCCCCATTGTTTCCTGAGCAGACCTGGACTTGGGCTTTGCCACAAAATCACATGCTACCCCACTCACTGGGTCACCCTGCCTCCCTGTGAACCTTGGGTTCTTTGACTCTGTGGCACCCTGGTCAATTCCCACACAAACACTTTACTGAAACCCTCAGAAAACTGGTGCCAGGCTAGGAGTAAGCAGTCTGGACCCATTTCTCATTGCCACAGTGTGTCCCCATTTGAAGAAGTGGATGAGGAAGTGGCCATGAGTCAATGGCCCTGAGGACCTGCCAGGGCCTGCTTTAAAACATTATGACTTCTGTCCAGTTGGATCCCAACTGGTCTCTCCACCCACCCCCATTTACTTTATTCTCAGTATAACAACTAGAGCAATTCTTTAAAAATACAACTCTGCYTCAAAACCCTTCAGTGCCTCCCAATTCACTTAGGGAAAAGCCAAGTTTTCACATTGGCCCAGGACGCCTTACCCAGTTTAGTTCCTAGTTTGCCTCTTGTCTCTCCTATTGCTGTGTACACTGCACTTCACTGCCCTCCAGCCACACTGGCATCCTCACAGTACCTCAAACTCTCCAGGCATGCTTCTACCTCAGGGCCTTTGCATTGGCTATTCCCTCTGCCTGGAACCCCCCAAATAGCCACATGGCTCACTCATCTCCTTTTTTTCTCGGAGAGATCTCCCCTGACTTAAAATTGCAGTCACCTCCTAATCCCTATTACCCAGCTTGATATTTTTTCCTTTGGCTTTACCACATTTTAGCCTACTCTTTAACATACATTTTACCTATGTTGTTTATTGTCTGTTTCCCTTCATTGGACTTAAGGTCCATCAGGAGTGCTTTGTCTGTTTTTAGTAACTGATGTGTTAAAGGGGTCACAGTGCCTTAGCTGTGAAAGTGCTGATGTATTCCAGCCCCAAGGAAGCCCCACTCCAGATATATGTGTCTAGCCCCACACAAGGATTCTCAGGGAAGGGCTCCCAAATGCTCACATGGCTGTTCATAGACTCAAAGCACAGCATGTCATGGCAGAACAGGAGTCAGAATGTCTCTCAGCATCCACCAGCCCTCAGTGAGCATAGTTGCCTATTGGCCCTGAGGACTGACACCCACTTACTCCTACTGCCCCCTCAACCTCTAGTCCAGTAATTGCCYAGTGCAACAAGAACTGGACAACCTCCTACTGTATAGCTGGAGAAATTGAGGCCCCAAATGGAAGGGGACTTTGGCAATTCTAGGCCAAATTTAGAATCTGAACTCAAATTTCTTTTCTCCTACTCAGGGGTTTGCCCACCACAGTAGAGGGTRTATATGTAGAAGGAAGGATATGCAGAGAGCTGAGTCCTCACGGTGTGTTCCAGGCCTTTCCTCTACCCACACTCCCAAGCTCTCTACCAGTACCACCTTGCCCAAAGTCCAGGTTCTACCCACTCACCTGTGTCCAGRGCGAGGAGGGCAGCCAAGGCCAGGGTGACCACCCATAGACGGACGGCCATGCTGATCCTGAGCTGGTGTGGCCCAAGCTAACTGGGGCCTGGGTGGCAAGGAAGGATGGAAACCTGTTTATAGTGCTGATCCCCACTCTTATCTTATCTGGGGCCAGTTGGAGACAAGAGCGTCACCTCAAGTTAATCCCTGCATCCTGGAACCAGGAAAGGGCTTGTTCAAGACAAATAGATTCTGAGTTTCTGGTGACATGGAGCTGTGGCTATGAGACTGGCAGATTTCTAGAGGGAGCAAATGTTTGGATAACTTGCAAAGTAGACTGGAGCAAGGAAAGGGTAGTTGAAGTAAAAAGAAAAGGGAAGAGAAAGAACAGAAAAAACAGCAAGTAGGAGGAGGCAGAGAAAGGGGGCTGGAGTCATGGATACCTTTGTCAGTACCTCTTCCACCAACTTTGTGACTCAGGAAAGCCATTTTCCTTAACTGGGCCTCAGTTTATCTGTGCACAAAACAGAGATGATAATTCTGACTCAGCCTCTCTTCCAGAACAGCTGTGAAACTGGATTGGTGAGAGCAGATGGGAAACATTTGTTAAGTATGCAGTGAGAGAAATATAAACAAAACTGATTCTTTTTACTTATTTTTTGGTGCCATGAAGTGGGCATAACCAGCAGATAAAATAAAGGCAAAATAAGACTTTTTAAATAGCATGTTTCTCATGCTGCATGTCCTAGCCCCCTGCTCCTGACTCAGAATAAAACATTAGAAGAAAGATACTTTCATGTTTTTCAGGTACTATATGCTCATTTCCATTTTAGGTTAAACACAGGATTCTTTTCAAGAAAAAGCAGTATCTAAAACTTCCCCATATCTCTGTAATACATATGAATGAGTAATTTGATTGTCTGCCTTCAAAGAATTTCTGACTTATAAAATGAATACAATGAAGCTGGACATGGTGGTGCTGCGTGCCTGTAATCCCAGTGGCTYGGGAGGCTGAGGCAGGAGGATCATGAGTTCAAAGCCAGCTCAGCAAAAGCAAGGCACTTAGCAACTCAGTGAGACCCTGTCTCTAAACAAATACAAAATAGGCTGGGGATGTGGCTCAGTGGTCAAGTGATTGAACTCAGGGTCACTTGACCACTGAGCCACATCCCCACTACCCTCCCCCCATACCCAAAAAAATAATAAAATATCTGATTTTCTCTAATTCATTTAGGTCAAGGATTTTGAACTCTATCTGAAGATTTTATTTACCTTTGGAGAATTTAAAAATACATTTTTACTATGAAATATTTAAATCAATATTTCAGTATTGGACTGGGCATAGCTTGGTGCTATGAAATATTTAAATCAATATTTCAGTATTGGACTGGGCATAGCTTGGTGCGTAGAATAGGTGTTTTTTGTTTGTTTATTTGTGAGGTTTTGGGGGTTTTGTTTTGTTTTGTTTTGTTGGTGCTACATTGAACCCAGGTCTTTGCACATGCTAGGCAAGTGCTCTGTAATTGAGCTATATCCCTAGTCCAAACATCAGTGATTTTTTTCCTCCCAGAAAGATTTATTTTGAAAGGTTCCAAGCCTACAGAGAAGTTCTGAGACTAGAACAATGAGTTAATGGGGGGGGGATTCTTATTTAAGAACAATCCCTTTGGGGGCTCCAGGCAGCCAGTCACCTCTACAGATTCAGTAGTCCTTGATTCAGCTTCAGAATCCTCCTACCCTTTCTTAAGAACCTATACAGGTACATGGATGTCTCTGAGGCAGGTGGCAGCTACACTTCATTGCTTAACCAKGCAGAGCAAATATTTAATGATGATTTCCTGTCCTAAAACAATATCATCTCATAAAGGGAGAAGAAGTTTAAAGGTTATGTAAATTCTGCTGCTATGAGACTCCTTGAGGGTGGGGGGTCCCAGAAGCTTTATGTCTGGCCTCCTGCACCTGCATGAACACCAGATGAGGACCTTTAGGGCAAACAAATCCAGCCCTTTGTCTTGACTCCATCATCTCCTAATTCATTTTAGTTCTTCCCTCACCCCTGCCTTTGGTACTGGGGATTCAACCCAAAAGGTTTTCCAATTAGCTACGTCCCCAGCCATTTTTGTATTTTGAGACAGGGTCTCAGTAAGTTGCTAGGGCTTTGCTAACTTGCTGAGGCTGATCTCCTCCTGCCTCAGTCTCCCAGGTTGCTAGGATTATAGGCCTGCACCACCGCACCTGACCCCTAGTTCATTTTCTTGATTCTCTACCAACCACTCCCAACTACTCTGCACACAGCAACCATGGATAACTTCTTAAAGAGTAAACTTGACCAAATCCTCCTGCCCCAAATGCTGTATTGGTGTCCACAGCCAACGGGACTCAGCCCACTCTCCTAAGCCTGGTGATCAAGGCCCTTACAGTCTCTCTTTAGTTTTACTTTTGCCCCATCCCACTCTAGACCTGCACTTCTTCCGTTCAACTGAACCCTCTGATTCTCTTTCTCATCTGGTAATGCCCTTCTCTATGTCTGTACCCTGGTCCTCTAAGAACCAGCTCAAACATCCACTCTTCTGGAACCTTCCCTAACTACCCTTTACCAACCTAGGCACAGCCATCATTGACTACCACAAGTGCTGCACTCCCACACTGCTCCTCTGCTCCTCTGTTAGAATCTCTCCCCTGTGCTCTGGTGTGTTTGCTTATCTGCCTTGCTGACTAAGCTGTGAGCTCTCTGGCAGTGAGGACAATGATTCATTTATCTCTATCTCCCTTGTGYCCAGTCCTGAGCCTGACACACAGTAGGCGTATAAATGTTGAGTGACAGATCCAAAAGGAGGCAGATGACAATGGTCMCAAGGATAGAGGTGGTGCCAGTTCTGGGAAAAAGGCTCTGAAGGGGAAGCATTTGTTGCCCCARTGATCCCCTCTTGCTCTGGGGAAGCCATGAGAACTCAAGAGAGCCCTCTGACACACCCAGACCTCACAGTGCATGGCCTGGGTCAGTGTTTGGTATGTTTCTAGCTAAGGAACAAGAGTGTTTTCCTCCAGTCTGAGCCAACCCCCCAACCCTTTCTATGCTCTCCCCATCCTCTGACTTCTCTGGGATGCAGAGAAGTACAGGGTAAAAGTTCTGGACCAGGAGTGAGGCATTCTGGGTTTAATCATTTGTTCAACAAATATTATCTATATCATGTTCTACACACTGTATTAGTTATTGGAGATTCAGCTATAAATAAGACACATTCTAGAAGGCTGGCAGACAACAATGAACTACCAAAACACATGACATGTTATGTAGAAGTCAAGTGCCATTAAGGCGGAGAGTGACAATGGAAGGAGTCTGTTCTTTTCGATAGTAATGTGTAAGCAGAGACAAAAAGAGTCCTGCAGAGATCTGGAAGAAGAACCTGCCAAGCAGAGGAACTGCAAGTTCAAAGGCCCTGAGATAGAACAGGTTTGGCTTGCTCAAGAAGGAAATACTAAGGAGACCATTATGGCTAGAGTGAAATAAACAAGGAAGTGAGTGGCAAGAGGTGAGAAGAAGCCAGACGTGATGGTGCACACCTGTAATCCAAGTGGTTGGGRAGGCTGAGGCAGAAGAATCACAAGTTCAAACCCCACCTTAACAACTTAGCGAAGGCCTAAGCAACATAGCAAGTCCCTGTCTCAAAATAAAAAATAAAAAGGGCTGCAGATGTGGCTCAGTGGTTAAGTGGACTCAATACCTGGTACAAAAAAAAAAAAAAAAGTGAGTGGTAGGTCATGCTTAGTTTCCAGCCCCACCACCAACTTCTTGGATGAACTTGCGTGCTTTCCATCCCTGATTTTGGCCTATGCATGTTCTCCCATCTGAGAAATAAGCTTGCCAACACATCCCACCACCAGCCTAACTTCCAGGGAAGATGTGAAGGCCTTGGAGAGATGAATGTGAGATGAATTATGTGCAGCCACTATGATACCAAGGAGGGGGCTTATGTGGCAATTCCTGGAAGCAGAACAGAGGCCAAGGCCTATGGAGATGCTAGAATCAACACACAATTAAGACAGATGCCCTCAAAGAGGGCTCCAGCAGAGAGTCTGAGTGATTCTCTATCTCCACCTCTGATCAGAGTAAAGACCAGGCACAGGTGCTTTGGCTAGGCCAACATTCCCAGCTTCACCCAGAAGCTTTCATGCCATCTGCTCAGATTTGAACTGGGCTCAGCTCCTCCAGGAGTACTGCCACTCCTTGATGACGGCAAAACTGGATCCATTAGCTGAGTCACAAATCCTGGGGATAGGTGGAAGGTACAACAACTGTGTTTGGCATAAGGTAGATGAGCTAAGCTCAAGCACAAGTCAGGCCTGCCAGATGTCATGATCAACATGGCCAGCTTGCCCCTGAACCACCTTCCCTGGTCTCCAGCCCACTTCCTACTCCACCTTTCCTCCAKCCAGAAGTGTCCTCATCTGCCCATCTCCCTGCTTTGAGCAGTCGAGGTGTGGGAATTCACTTTAAGAAGGCCTGATCTAGGGGCTGGGGATGTGGCTCAAGTGGTAGCGCTCGCTGGCATGCATGCCACCCGGGTTCGATCCTCAGCACCACATACAAACAAAGATGTTGGGTCTGCCGAAAACTAAAAAAAAAAAATATTAAAAAATCTCTCTCTCTCTCTCTCTCAAAAAAAAAAAAAAAAAACCAACAACAACAACAACAACAAAAACCCCCTGATCTAGACCCAGCCAGCTCCACAGCCTGTCCTGTCCTGGATTCCTCAGGTACCCAACTTCAAGTCCCAGGTCTGGAACCCACACTACCCATTCTGCTTTATACAGAGTTTCAGGCCCTCTCTCCTTAGGGGCAGCAGGAGGAAAGGGTACTCCTCCAGCCCTTGTAAACAGAAATTTCATCTAATTGTTTGAGCTCTGACTTTAAGGAGGACTTGATGATAGTGACTGAAGTCATCCCTCTGTGGACACACCTACCCTGCCATACAACAGACATTTGTTGAGCATCTGTGGTGGAGTACCAGTCACWATGCTGACTCCAAAGACATATTTTTTTCACCCTGGTATTCTATGGATACCTTGCTCAATATGTCCAATAATCAATTTACTATCTCCTTTCTACCCA